GAAGGATTCAATAATATTAAAGATGTTTCCAGATACACAATAAGGAGTAAGCTTATGGAGGAGACCAGCGTGCCAAACTTTATCAAATGTTTCAGAAATGTCAAGAGCAATGGCTTTAACCTCTCCACCTTTATCTAATGCACAATAAAACCTATTGGTTATTACTGTTAGCAAATCAGCCGTAGAATGAGAAAATCGAAATCCATATTGATGGTCAGGAAGTAAGTTATGATTCAAGGTGAGAGATTAAGTGTTTGTTAATTAAAGATTCAAAAATCTTGCTTATGATAGGAAGCAGGCTAATGGGGTGGTAGTTAGATGAACTAGATCACTCTCCATATTATTAAAAGTTTGTTCTTTTTTGTGGAACAATTAAACAACATTTATGTTCTATGATAAGTTAATTGTAAATTCACTAAAAAGTTTTTTTAAAGTTGTTTAATTTTTTCAAGTTTTTATTTTTCAACTTATTCAAGTTTCAGATTATGGAAGTTGAACAAGTACTTATCAGAGTCTTGTTGAATAGTTTTGAAAGGATAGGCGACAGCTCCGGAGAACACTTCTGCAAGACTATAACGGGTATGTTGTCCGGGCCACAAGCTGTAGAAGATTCTAAGCAGGAAATCACTTTAGATACAGAAGCTGGAGTGATACAGATGTTGAGCAATGAATCAACCTGTTTGACGGCTATATCAGATAGAACCCAACTAGTGGAATCAAGAGATGATATTGATGAAAAGTTATAAGCAAACAATTCAGCTTTGTCTCTAGATGAAGTGACAAAGTCTGAATCATACAACAGAGGAGGAATTACAGACTTGCCCTTATTATTGATACTAATAAAGATTTTCCTTAAGTCACGAGAGCCTGATTTTTGTGATGAAATACGAGATTTCATGATCTGAGAATAGGGCTTTGGTCTTAGACAAAATCTTTAAACAATGGTTCCTAGCAGTAATAAACAGACGTCTGTTTTCTGGAGAATTAATTTACTGATAGATATGGAAGTAATGGTTTCGATTGGCAATTGCAGCAGCTCAATGTGAGGAAAACCATGGAGAAGAGTGAGGCTTGACCTGGAATTGACAAGAGGGAATAAAGGATTCCATGTCAACCTGAATCCACAAAGTTATGTAAGAAGCACATTTGTCAGGAAAGCAAAAGATATCTACCCAAGGGCCATCACGATGAAAATCACGGAAAGAGTCCCAGTCAGCTTTAAGATAGTTGTAAGATGTACGATGATAGGGGGATTCTGATGATAAAGAAGAATGAGATAATATACCGAGTTTTAGAGAGGCCAAACCTTGATCGGAAACACCTAAGGGTAAATGTGGAGAAACTGAGCACTGACTAGGATTAGAAACAAGATATAATTCAAGTAGAGAAGGTAAATGATTAGGGTTGTCTGGAAAGCGAGTTGGAAAGTTGACTATTTGAGTTAGGAATTGAAAAAGACAAAATTTGTGGGCTTTAATGCCTGCAGAGTCACTGACACTAGAGCCAAGCCATTCAGTGCGATGAACATTAAATTCACCGACAACAACAATATTGGCTGATGGATAAAGAATGAGGGCTTGGTCAATATAATCAGAAATAACATCAAGAAGAGTGCAGTCTTGAGATGAAGGAGAGCGATATAGAACAAAGAGAAAGGTGATAGAGTGAAGTGGTGCTAAATGAAAGCACATAAAAAAGCAGTCTGTGGGTTCAAACCTAGTTTCCTGACAGATGGCTGAATTCTTACGAATGTAAATGGCCAGGCCAAGCATGTGGCTATTGGAGTCTTTATGAGTTAAAGGAAGATAACCATCAACACTTAGATCACAAGATGAGACAGCTGAACTCAGATTAGTCTCACAAAGAACAAGTAGGTCTGGTGAACTTTGCAACAGATAAGATTCAACAAAAAGTTACTTCGAAGACCATGAATATTAGTGAATGATAGGTTTAGCGAACTTGGTGATGACTGTGGTTTTTTGTGTTTTATAGTTTTTTCACTTTATTCATTTTTAAATTTGTTAAAAAACTTGACTCAAAACAGATAGTACTCAGTACACTGTTTAATAGCCCAAGCAATTGCCTCATTATTATAAATGAACTCTAAGCAATGACAAAGGGCTCCAATGTGGTCTTTGCAATGCACACCAAAAGTACAAACAGGGACACCATCCATGCTCAACATGGCACTGTTAGTATTTTGATATTTTTTAGCTGTTGATGGAGTTAGCTTCTCTGAGAGCTACCACAGAGTTCAGGAAACCTAACTACCAGCCAACCTCAGAACCATAAAACTGAGTTTTAGAGCTGTACCCTCATTTGGAGATAATAGAATGAGTTGCCTTGTCATAAAAACAGAGACACAAGCAAAACCCATGTATCTAGTCAAGAAGATCCAGCATTCAACATTCCTAAACTCGAAACCATGTATTAAAAATACATCTGTGCCAGCCTAATAGATGAAGGTGTGCGAGGCTGGTCAACAGATAGAATCTGTTTACCCCTTAAGTCTTTGCTTATGAGGCCTTCTACAAGACAGCAGCTGGATG